TGAAAGAAGCAGAATAATTCGGCACATAAAGTTCTCGATACCGAACGACGTTATCGGTGCTTTTTTACTACGAAGACCATAACCTGTGAGTTAGTTTCATATGCTCATTCGTTTCAACTATCAAAAAAGCACCAACTACCTTGAGATACAAGAACAAATCAGAACTGCTGCACGAAGAAGCGCTCACTTTCTGCCATGAGTGAAGTAATCCCTAGGATTAAACATCTGATTTAATGCCAATGAACAGATACCATAGTAGATTGCCAGTAGACGGAGTACCGTCTGAACAAGGAAATTGACATCACTTGTACTGGGCTTGCATCAATACTGTAACTCAATTGTACCGCGTGTATCATCACACTGTCGACCTTTTATTTTATGATCCTAAGGGTTGTTCTGTAGTGCCTAGACTTTGGAACTTGGCGCTGTTTGCAGTAAACGTGTGCTAACACTGACGCCAAAACAACTAGCATTGACTTCACTGATGACGCATCTCCAGCAGATACCCTTTTATAGTCTTCGATTAACGTTAGATCAGCACAGACGGTGAATGAGTTCTCTCATGTAACTTATTCAACTGCACCAGACAGAAATCCTCGTTGTTCTAGGATGTTCTTTCTTCAAGTACTTCATTCCCTTGATCACTTCCTAACCAAACTTTAATCAGCGTTTGCGTCCTCAATTCTCAAAGATCGTTCCGCCAAAGTTCGGATCTGTTGTGAAGCATTGGTTTTCATGTTCTGATAATAACTATTCTGATAATGCGCTAAGTACCACGGTTCAGTTATATAGAAAATGTATGAAAACTTGAAACGGAAGCAGTGCGTTTAAAGAAAAGCATTGAAACCACGGCACCAACAACCACCTATCCCACGAATGATTTTCTCCAAAAATGGTCCATTCCCTGTTGACCCAGAAAATTGATTGTACAACCAACTTTTCCTTTTCTCTATTCTACACACATGCACGCGTGCACAGAAATCTTATCATTTCGTATAAGGCACAGTTTGAGAAAATGCAATCGCAACTGGCCTCCGAGCAAAAAGAGAGGTAAGTGTCCAGTTTCAGTCAAGTAAACTCATTACATTCACCTGATGATAAAACCGTGACAGACAACTATTCCTCCGTTGTTACTGTTTTGGCTTTTGGTAGGGCTAATTAATCAAAACAAATAAACTTTGATTAGAAAAAAGTAACCGTAGTGAAATGAAATACAATCAACCTCATAAAAGGAACACTGGCAGTTTAATCACACCATTCATAGACTGCATACATCTAACTTAACTTAGTCAAATTATTACACGGAAATCGATGGATTTTACAGAAATGCTTTCATGTAATTTTAATAAACAAACGTTTGTCTAGTGTAGTTACTAAAATATGACTTCAAATCTCTCTTGGCGCGTCGTGCTAATGAACACAGAAACTAGTTGTTAAGGTGACATGTGAAGGTCTGGTGACGTTTGAATACATGCAATAATACATACCTACATAATACATGTACTTGAAGTGATCACGAGTCATTCGAAAATTTCAACGCATAATAATTGTTAACTGCAGGTGAGTTGAAACCTACCTGTTTGCCGAATCAAACAATCGTGAACATGAGAATGCTCCCCGACTGACTGATTAGGAGAACAGAGATTGGTTCAACAGTATTGTATCCCTGTGCTGTATTGATTGGTTGATGCTACTGGCTAAAATAACATGGAATGTAGTGATTATGACAAGGGTTTTCTCTGTTATAAAACTTTCCCTATTGCGATATCCATTAGGAACCGGTGGTCAATATTACGTGACAATGAGCGAGTTGTGTGGGCTCCAAAATCCCATTATCTCACAATATACTGAAATTGGACTCAGTTTCGCTTCCTGTTCATTTTCAATACTGTTTGTAAAACTAGATCGCAAAACTATTTTGGGTGAAGCAAATGAGTGCCTCGTGCCATAGTGTTTTAGACCAAAAATGGAAATACGCACTACTCAATCAGTTTTTTTATTGCACTGAATGTTACTAATAATTAATACCATGTTTTTGAGGGATCGCACCGTACGATTTTCGCTGGTATCTCTTGGGACCTTCATGTCACCAGGTACAACTGGAGTCGCACGCGATATTACACTAGTTTCGTTAGAAATCTACAAATTCAGCACTAAATCAGAAACAAACGGGTCACGATTCATGCAATGTTCCGAAACAGTAATAAATCAGTTCATGTATTTTTCCGCTACACTATGGGATGTAGTATTTTGATCTCGGAAAGCGTGAGGAACCACAGATTCCTTCAGTGTGCGTGAATTGCAATACTACTCACAAAAAATGTGAGTAGTACGATACTAAAATGTTGAGTACCTTACACTTCTTAATATTGTCTTCCAAGCTTTATTTTATTTTTCATTTTAATTCTATTAACCTTGTATGTAATTATGAGGCACATCGATGGAAAAATGCAGCCAACTTGACAGCGAATCATAGGATACTGATACATATTTATGATAGAATTTTTAACCATATATATATTTATACGTTTTTCCTGTGCTATTCACTAAAACATAGTCCGATAATGCATACATTTATCATGTCAATGTACATTAGTATTGGTAGTTCAGGTGTTTTTGGAGCTCTTTAAACCAGTTCCTTACATTTTTGTAAGTCGACCGAATCCCATACGGTTCGAACCCGATTCACGATAGTTAGTTAGCCTGTCTAGTGATCTAATATTTTTACTCTTGTATTGCACACAAAAGATTACCACCGAGCTTAACCACACGGGGTATGGACTTATTTACTACTTTGCATTTATGTCACAGAGTTGAGGCTCAGAGAAAAAAACGTCGGTTGAATCGTGAAGTGGATCAATTCAGACAGACGCAAGTGAAATTCTTACGCAACATACGAAATACAATGCAGAGGCTCAAAACCAAGGAGAATAATTTAGAAAAAGAGGTAACCTGAAGATTGTGGTAAACTACTCGCGTTACTCTTACATTACTGAACCCTTCGTAGGCTTGATTGGGATAATATCAACATTCTTGTCACAATATATTGTGCAACAAAACGGGCACCATAAAAGATTTCCCCTTTAAATCATTTTATAGATCAATTAGTTGTAATCAGTATCCCAGTTCTGTTCTGATTGCTAGTCAAAAATTTCCGGGTTCATTTTATCAATATCTAGTGTATGTCATATCACAATCGAGCCGTTTACTGGGAACCACATTCTCAGGTCAAGGAGTAGATATCAATTTCGTGGTAAACAGTTAACTATGCTGTTTTAGACAGGCAACTACAGAACTGGGGGTACAATGTGGTTATTTTCTGGACAGAGTACATTCCACAATAAACCTCAGACTATGCCTGTCTACTGCACTGTAACATGGTGACCGCGCCCCGCCGCTAAATGCGACACCATGAACTTCATTTAGATAATGGGTATTAGACTGACCAAAATCAGACAAAACATATCTGCTATGGTATCTGCTTACGGGATTGCTTCTGTTGGTCAAATGCTTTTTCTAATTTCGACGACGTCTGGTAGTGCATCATCTGTAAGATTATGAATTTTTATTTATAGATTACTTTAACATGCATTATTTAAAAACTATCTCATATTTTGAACACAGATTGACCGTAATGATTATCTGCATAAAATAATAGTCATTTATTAGAAAGAATGAGCTCGTTTGCTGATTTATATCAATAATCTAATTTTTAACTTCGTAATTAGTACAAATTGTATCTTCTCACGCACAAAGTAGCGACGATTCGAGGAGCGATACAAGAGAATTAAGCATAACATACCTATCCCTTTGCAAGTGTGATATCGCAAACTGAAATATATATCCGGATTTTGAGTTTTTTTGCACGAGTTCGATCAATTCACACATTCTAACTGGTGTTCCAGATTAGGTAAATGAACCACACACTGGGCCACCGGCTCATCTGAAGTGACTCTACTAGCTTCCAGGCTCTACTTGGATAAGCAAACGACAAGAGGTGCACACTTGAATGAAAAGCGTGAATGAGGAATCGTTTACACACCTGCCTTATCCTGACTATGTGACTGGGGAGTAAAACAGCCCCAATCGGTGCTAGAAACACCTCTCCATTTCCTATTTCCATGAAGCTCAACAAACATTATTCACGGAGCCGACCTATCCTCACTCAAACCAGAGATAGTGGAATAGTAGTAAGTACAACAGACATCGATTGCTCCATAGGAACGAAAACCCTAGTCTATCAATAGAGACATGGGTACGATTCGAAGGGAACCTAAACGCGAACAATCGATTGGATTCGGTACAAATGCGGAACTTTATGAATATGTATATCGAACAGTCGTGCGTACAGGACACACTTCAACAGTAAAACAAAACGGGTTGCATAAATCACTTAGACAAGTGGGTGGGTGTTTGGGCTTATAAAGGATAGCTTGTTTTAGTCAAGATGAAGATCAGCAATGCTTAAAGACTGCTGTCTATTCAACATTACCCGAGTCTGGCGAGATTAGCTTAAATACAATTCAGAATTTACATGCCGAACATTGACTGACCGATTACAACCCCTTCATAGATTGCAACGGACAAAAAGTGGGTAACTGAAGTCTTTAGGTGCGTGATATTCAAAGAACCAGTCATTGCATCAAACTAGATCTAACAGCCTAAAAGTCACGATCTAAAGCAAAAGTGTAAACGATTCAATGTTTGAACTGGATGATGTGTTTCGTAGCAAATGATTTATTCCCTTACTGTTTCGAAATCGATTTCAGCTTGTCTTCTTTGGTCACCAGCTTCCGTCAATAATTATAGTAGTAATGATAATATATAATTCAGTCAGACCCTAAATATAACCGATGATTCACGTCCTTTGCCACAATAAATGAGCTCTATGCCCCGCTTTTTACCAATATATTCATATGTAGAGCAAAACTGGTCATTTGCTGTTCCATACACTCTCACCAGTGAATTTGATTTCCATTTCTAACAATACTGAATTACAGATTAAACAGCTGAACGATGAGATCGAAACAAGTCACGAGTACACGGTGGCGACAACCGCACAAGTCGAATCTCTCAGATTGGAGCGCGAGGATAAGCGCGTAACACTACGTGATCAGATCAATGGTGAGAAAGTGCAAACAAACATGTACAATATTCGTACAATATACGGACATTTAATTCTATTGTGAATAAAGAAAACATTGATTAGATACCTTTCCCGTGTGTAACTGGCCAAAAGATCCCCTGGCTCGACTGACTAAGCTTGGATGCCAAAGCGACGTTAACCTAGCCACTTCCCGTTAACAGTTTCTGATCCCGGTTGGAAAAAGAAGTGACCCATAATTTGATGGTGTGGGACAGCTTACCGTTCATTAACCTATGCTGATGGTTCCTAATTCATGGGATGGGAACAATCGCTGTTTAGGGACATTGGGCGAAACAGCCTTAAGACAAACTGACTGGCTTGAGTTAGTCCTACCTTGTTGAGGGCGTACAGATATAACAAAATTCCTCACATCAAAAAATAACTTAAAAAGATCCAATAAAAAAGAAGACAAATTTCACCCTTCTGTCTTATACCTTATTGTGTTTCCTCCCACTCGAGAAACTTACATTTGTCGTTTTAATTTTGGTTCTACAATAGACGGGACTTTATCTCTTTTGATGATGTAGGGTATACACATAACACGTAAGTCACTGAAAAAGGCGTTCAGCCAGCTTTGTTGTGGCTAGTANCCCCCCCACAAAGAATGATTAACATTCACTGCCTACGTTGACAAATGGACTGTGCAATAACAGTAGATCCATAAAATGCAATCTCTGAAATGCAGATCACCAATCTGTGTTGAGAACACATATGTAGGAATGGGGTATATGAATGATGGGATGGAAGTGAATAACGGGTACACATGCCTTACGAGTAGTAGCAACCCCTAAGCCGGTCGTGAGCTTCCAAGAAAATTTTGTATGGTCATCCAGGTACTACTAATATCATATATATATATATCACTGTTTTGATGACGCTAACCGTATGATCACTGGCTTCTGCATGACATATACGTTTTTCGTAAAAGCAGTGACGGTGTAAAACCAGTTGTCTATTAACTGAATGGCCCCAAATCATGGTGAAAATTGTATTTTGACCGTGGAATACTGTCAGTTAATGAACTGAAAATATCCTGATAGAAGCCAATTCTAACTATTTTACGACCGTCTGAGTGATCAGGTTTGCTCCAACAAACAGAGCCCAACTTCAACCAAAGTAGATTAATTTTGTATTCTTTACTTGCATCTTCCCATTACCAGTTTCTCAACAGCAACTGAACAACACAGAAGACCGCGTGATTCAGGCGGAAGCTGAAATTGAGCAAGAAACACCAGGATGCGAAGCCCTAAAACAGTTGATGGTAAAACGTACCACATTCTATGAAAAACTACGGCAACAACAAGCTCGTACGTTCATTGAAGTTGAGGAGATTTTGCATGGTATTTTGCGTGCATGATGAGCATCTTGTAAGTTGATACTTAGTTCACCTAATTTATTCCGTTTCCGTAGGTCGGAAAAGACGGTGCTTTTAGTTCACACTGAGTGTCCTATACAAATAACCTACGGGTTAGGTGGTTCAACAATACAAAATTTAGGTTCCGTAATTTTCTTGTTCGATTCAGACGAAAAATAGATTTGATTACGCACAGAACACGTAAGGCTTGTCATGAAGATGCTCTCGGCCTGAATGTCAGCTGATCAGCCTATCACGGCTGTAGAAGTGTCCGCAGGAGTTCAAAACCATTCTCATTTTATCACATACCGTCGAGTTGGTGTAAAGCTTTTCTCCCATGTCGGTGGTGGGACAGCCAATATACGGAAGCCTGTGAGAGCTACTCCGCAAATAACATGTTTTCCTGTCCTTATTTTCTTGCAGTTGGCATTGCGTATAAGATTTGTTTAAATCTTGCACTCTTTGGGTAACCAAATCGGTACGACGTTCAACAGCGATAACGTTTTAGAGATCAAGGATAATGATTTGGATGTCATTCACTAGTTTGTGAAAATATCGACTGAGGGAAATTGTCGAATAGCTTACGAAACGAGGGTTCAAAATTGATGGAGGGATAAAAGGAACCTGAAAACAAATATCTCGCAATAAAATGGATGATGCTTTTAAACAGACTGGACTGCATACTACACAAAAAATCATTACAAAGTTAATTCGTCGTGTGTGTAGCAAACAAAGCGTGAACTGAAAAGCTGGGAAGCTGTTTTGATCCGTTTGGGTCTCATCAGCAGTGCGAATCCATCGACCTAACTGGGGATCAAACCCGGTGCCTCAGAGGCAGAACGCAAGCATGCTATCCACTCGGCCACCGGGCAGCTGATCAGACCGTTTTCATTTTCCACTTACACAATAAAGCACAACCCATCTTCGCTAGTTTAGGGCAGGCCACAAACCTCGCTGGTCTCAGCATTGGCCTCCGGTTTATGACTCGATTGGAAACATTCAAAACCAGTGAGGTCCCGGGTTCTAACCCCAGTTGGGTCGATGGATTCACACTGCTAATAAGACCCAGCCAAGTCAAAACAGTTGTCCAGTGCTTCCTAGCTTTTCAGTTCACGCTTCATTTACTATATACACGACGAACTCACCTTTGAAATTGAATCAAATCCTCCATTACTCACTTGAAGAAAATCACCGGTCAATTTTCGGTATATTTCTGATGGTTTTGTAAATCGTTCCCACAACAAGATCTCACAATTAATATTTTTCACTTACTATTGATTCCTTTCTCGGTCATCAGAGACCGAGCTCAACCTCTTCAAGCTTGAGACATTTACCGAGCAAAATTCAGCATCAACCTTAATCTTCTACGATGTTCCAAATTGACGGTGTTGGTAATGATTATTTACAGTTGACTGCCATTGTGTTTTGGCAAACGTCCTTAGTTGATGAAAAAAACAAGTGAAGTTCTATTTATGGTGAACCGGGGAGTGTTACTTTGGATCAGGAACTCCATTAATAGAAACTATTATGCGATTAAACGGTATCCTGTGGCTTGGACAGTTGTTGAGTATATCTGCTCATTAACTACCAAAACACACCCGGCAATAAACACGAATAGAATACACCCTGTGGAAACTCGATTCCGACTCACTAACTGGAATTGAACACGTTCCGTTGGATGCTTGTCTCAGTCTTCTTTTTCACATAGGGAGGGATCTTCTAAAGACGAATCCAGATAGGATAGTAAGGGAGAGGTTTGATATTTTTGCCCCAAAATTTAGTGTAAAGCTCAAAATCGTTTGCTTTGGTCATATCCAACAAAAATCTGACTCTCGATCTGAACTACATCCGTTCTTTAATTTTAGCCCATATTTTTTGCTGTTTGTTTTATCCTTGTCCTAAAGAGACTTGTTCCGTTAGCTAGATACGGTAGTAAGAAAGAACAGTCAAATTTAGAGTAATATCAATGAAATAACTAAAACTATCTGCCTATCTGATATCTCCTTACCCCTCGACCCTCTCAGAAAGCAGCATACTTCCTTTTGCATCAACAGTGCCCAGTAGTTCACACTTAACACTTCGGTTAAAAGTGCTTGAGTGATTGGAAAATGGAAATGAAATGCGAAAACTCACGTAAATGTGTGCTTCCGATATGTAGCGAGTTTCGTCTAGTTACCTTGCAGTAATTACTTAATCAATATTTTCTTACTTGACAAGTGTCATTTCACGCCCTGTCCGAAGCAGTTCACGCGCAACCTGTCGAGGCACTAATCAGCGCGAAACAGACATCTCTAGGTTTGGACCGTTTCCGAACAGAATCTCATATTACTCCCAGTTCGACCAGACCATAGGATTTTAGTTAGGCTTTCTGCTCTCCATGAGGTGGCCTTATTTGAACTGATGCGTCATAGTTCACGTGAAAGCCTCATGAAAATCACTCGGATGTGCGGTCGGATATGGTCACATACGGTCAATGTGATTTACACGACCCACTGTCTAAGTTGAAGCGTATGGTCTTTGCGCGTAAAGGGTCATTCATTATGTTGCATGGATTGTCACAGTAATATTTTTTATCGCAAAACCGAATTTGGCAGATTATCATGGTGGACTGAAAGACCACCAGTTGTCACTCACCTCAGTATCGTCATTTCAATGAATCCCATAATCGAACCAGAGATATTATTCAGTTTCTAAGCCAATTTTCAATTAGCAAACTGAGGATAAGTGACAAATGCGGACAGGAGAGTGTTTCGATTAGAGCTTGGAATGATACGCTTGTCACGATTATGAATTAGCCGGTCGGATAAAAAGATTCGGTTAATTAATGCCAGTACAAGGAACCAATAGGAAATGTACCCGTCATCAGAAGCAGGCACATCTACATTCGTTTTTACTAGATTAGTTACATCTTCAAATCAGCCAAGTATTTCTAACTGGAGGGATGTGAAAACGCTGGACATTCTCATTGTCACCAGATTCAATTCTTCTGGGAGTGTGCTGCGATAGGCAAATATTTTTTATTGGTTTTATATATGTACTGATACTGATATTTCCAATAACTTCCGTGGAAGTGACAAAGAGTTCCCATCCACAACATGCATTCAATTGATCCCACACAAGTTACCCGAAGGTAGTCCATAGATTATATGTTCACTTCATAGTTTCAATCTTATTTGAGGCGCCGTTTGCCAATTTTGTCCCCTAATTCCTGGTTACAGAGTTGAGTTTGGATGTGAAATCCTTGACACAGCAAATAAACCGCAAATCTGTGGATATTCGAAGTCTTTCCCAAACCTTGGTAAGTATTGCACTACAGATCACGATTTACGCGATGACTAGTCGGAAGCAGAGAACAAACTCGCGGCTAAAGTGTCCAAGAATACATCCGTGCTCAGCGCGGACGCAAATGAATTGCACGAGCGGGAAAAACACATCTACATTACCGGATGCCGACTGAAAACCGTCCGCATTGAAAATGCTCGTTTGATGTGGGTAAGTGATATAGTGAATGATTATCACAAATTCATCGTCAAGGGATCACGGCGTTTCAGTTATCTGTCTTCTTCTATTTCATTTTACCGTTTCAGGGCATTAGAAACCAGGAGGAAATAATGCGCTCGGTCTGCAGCGACTGGGAAAGAATTTTACGGAAAAAATCGAAAGTTCGTCGTGTCGTGGGAGAATTGCACAGTAAGGGAGGAGTATTTGATGCCAAAAAATTGACTTGCCCTGCGGTCTGTGAGTAGTCATCAGGGATGAAAACACTGTGTGTGCATGTGTACAGGCGTGGATGAATGTACGATACGAATGTGGGAAAGAGCCCACAGATCAGCAAAATTGTGAATCTATACCTCATGTCACTTCATTTCATCAACTACGGGAGCTATTACCCGAATTTGATGCGACGAAAATCGTTGTGTAAATATTGCTGTTATTTTAAGCATACGTAAGTGGAGTGACAAAATTTTGTCTGATGTCAGAAACCATGGGGTACCAAAGGAGTTATGTGAATTGGAAATATCGTTTTTTTTCTGTGGTAATCGGTCGCACGTATATGAACCGTATGAAATAGCTGAGGTGAGTAATGTGCACCGTCCGGCAACGGTTTGTTGAGGATCACAAAGGAGAGTGAAAGAAAACAGTGGATTTACACTCTTTTGTCAATGTCTGAAAAACTTTTATCAACAATATCATGAGGGTTGAGCAAAACGTTTCCTTATACGCATTACACGCACGAGGTGCAGAAAATTGGGGAAGGAAAACGTGAAATTTAATCTATTGCGAATATTGTTAATTAATTGTAACTCACAGGACCAAATGTCACCAGCCGACAACAGCTCACAAATAGCTAAACTAGAACTGTAAGTATAAAATTCAATCGATGTCACTGCAGGGCGATGATTTTCTACGACTGGAAATGTGGTTTAACTCAGTAGTAGAGTGTCAATCATTTGCAGTCTGCTTCGATAATGGTGCGGCTTCAAGAAGCTCTGTGTTTGAGTGGTTTGGGGAATGCAAGCATGGCAGGCAGTCCATGGATGATGAGACACGGTGTGTTTGACCTATGGAGGCCACCACGGTGGACAACACTGCTGCTGTGCAAGCGATAGTGGAGGAGTGTGCGCTGGTGAAAGCCAACGGGATCTCATCTCAAGATGAATAAGCAGAATCCCACGTGAGAAGCTCGGGCTCAGAAAGGTCCACGCACGCTTGGTACTTCATCAACTCAGTGAGGAATAGAAATCAAGTCAGGCGAATTGGTCCGTACCATGCTTGCCAGGTTTGATAGTGGATGGTCCGATGCAGTTTGGGATATCATCAGTGGTGATGAGCTCTGAGTGTGTACAGGTGTTTAGCAAACTCGTGTAACATCACTCTCATCAGGGAAATACATATCGGTTTTCAATATCATACTTATATGCTGGTGGCTACGGATAAAGTGTATTCGGTCTTGACTTCACCTACAACTGCTGTGTTCTTAGCTTTCTTGTATCACCGTGTGAATTTGCACGAACTTCAGTATCACGATAAAATTTGTGGTAACTCGAAAGTAACTGCTCAGATTTAAAAATTTTTTATACAAAGCATCCTAGTAATTCACCCTTTCTAATTAATGGTTCCTCCTACATCAGAGTGGTTATCCTGGTGAACACGATTATTCTAAGTTGCTTATCTCTTTTGGTTTAACGTATGGTAAATAAGCCAATTAATGAAGATATTCCAGTTTTAATAAAATGATATATTATTTGGCTACTAACTACTCACGCATTATCCCTAATACTGAAAGAACTGAAAATAGATTCCAAGAAGTATACAGGTTGACCTCGAGGTGTACGGCTCATGGAATAAGCGTCTTGTGGTGCCCCCATGCCAAAACCGAACGAAACATCCAAGAGATTTTACCAGATGTTTGAAGCCAAGAGGCAGCCTTAATCGAGGGGCACACCTATAGTTTGGACCCAAATGCTGATGAGAAATCGGCTAAGTGAACGGCACGAGCACAGTGTGGCATAGCAGATGACAGTTTTCATGGTCAAAAACCGGCATGTGGCCATTGTACCGCTCGTACAACAAAGCACAGACGCTGGAAACTGGTACGCTATCCACTGTCTGCCAAAAGTGCTGAAACCTATTGCCAAACGTCGTCCGAAGACTCGAGCATAAGGGACCGTGACAAGGCACCTACTCACAAGTAGCACGTCGTCAGCGATTTTCTGGCTGGAGGACGCATATAGGTGGTTGGTTACCCACCCTACAGTCCAGACTTGGCTCCGTGTAACATTTTTGTGTTCCCAAATCTCACAACCTCGATGAGTGCAATCCGATGCGATTCACCTACAGTTGCAGCAGATGCTTATTTGAACTAGTCGAAGGAATACCAGCTTTGGCACGGT